AGCTTCGTTGCAGGGCTTGGGAAGAGCCCAAGAGTATTGGGGTTTCCCCTTGTGATTGAGTTCATCTTTGGGGTTCTTGCGCCATAAGTGGTGTGATGTCGTGCCTTATATTTTGTGAACTCTCATGTTGTAATTTAGTAGATGAGTAGAGTCCTAGGGCTCTGCTGGGATCCCCTGTTGCTATTATTTCACCTGTTGTTTATTTGTATGTATTTGTGGCTTATTTATTGTTCACCCATGCTTATCTATAGTTTTTCTGTTGGCTATCTATGTTTATTTTGGGGTTTATCTGTTTCAGATCAGATACTTACCTGTGACTTACCTGTATCTGGAGCACTGGTATAAGGTTTTATGGCATTTACCCAGAGGGTATTGTTTATGTTATTTGTTTAGATAGCTTAAACATATGTACTATATATATATTTTTTTATGTCCATGTTTCTTTTCCTTGTGATAAGTTAATGTAAATAATGTGTATCTAGTTAAATCCCCTGACTGACCTGGCCTGGCTCTATAGGGACGGAGGGAAACTGAGCGGCCTGCAGTTCCTACACAGCACACCTGCCAGCTAACAATCTCCTTCAATTGGAGAAGGGGAGTATATACCCGAGTTACCTGGGCTATACTTATATATGATATCTGTAGGTGCATGCAATCATGGTTTTTGAAAATCGGACCAAAATAGTTTGCAAGTTCTAAATAAACTGCTGTGTTTAACTACAGTTTCATTTGCCTTCAAAAACTTAGGGTAAAGGTTTCCCTCACTTTATGCGGATTCCATATGTGCAAATTCGCTCTTATGCAATGACCCTTTTTATACCAAAAATGTGTTGTATGCAAGGTAAATTCACTCTTATGCAGTCGGTGTGGTGGAAGCCTACAGTTAGCTGCTTTGTGCGGTGCATTGTGGGAGTGACGCGCACCAAAATATAGTCTCCTGTGGGGGTCTGTGCTCCTTGCTCAGCGTCTGTGACACGTGTTTCTGTAGCTCCCATCCCCATTATGACTTCTAAACATCCCACTAGCTTATCTCCTACCCTTCTCCCTGGATGATACCATGCCTCTACCTCCTACCAGTGATGTGGAGTCTGACACTGAAGACCCTTCACCACCCTCTGTTCACACCAGCTAAACATTCACCACCATCCTGTGCATGTGTGTACTGTTTGCTGTTGGTGAGTACCAAAATTGTCTTGTAAAAGTGGTAGAAATGGATCTGGGGGGTCAATACAGTTGAGGTCTTGGAACATATCCCTATTTGTTACATTGTAAAGTGGGTTCCCTTTATGCAAATTTGAGTTACGTGCTGTTTTCCAGGAATGCGTGTACAGCATAAAACGAGGGAAACCTGTATGTGAAAGTCAGGAAGCTGACTTTTTGGAAAATGTAATAAAAATATTATATGTACTTGATTTTAAAACAACTTTAAATTTAAGATAAGCCCCCAATTATTAGATTATGATTTTCTTTGTCTAGAATCTAATTATTGGGGGGGGTCATCTTTAATTTGTTCCCCCAGTGCTGAAGCAGGAAGAAAGCAGCAAGGGGGCAGGCAGTGGGGAAAGCAGAAGTGAGGGAGCAGATGTGGGAAGTAGAAGTTGGGGAAAGCAGGGGTGAGAAGTAGGAGGCAGGGAAAGCAGTGGCAGGTGTGGGGGGGAAGCAGGGGTGGGTGAACAGGCATCCTGCCCCTCATCCCTTGCCCCCCCAGTTACTCCCTCCTCACCATTTACCTCCTTGTGCTGATCTGAGCATAGGTGGGGAGCCAAGGGCAGAGGGGAAAGGAATAGGGCATGGTGCAGTGGTGAGCTCTCAGCAAAGTTACTTCCTGCAGCATGGGGCCAGCTGGAAACCAAAGCAGCAGTAATGTGTAGACGCCTTACCTGGCCAGTAAGGGAGGGAAGGGGTGGGGGAAAGGAAGTGGAAAATCCAGACAGGGAGCAGACCTGATGTATCCCTGTCCCTGCACCGCTGTTTCTTGCAGCTCCCAGTTGTGATGCTTCAGTTTTAAGAAGAGGCCTTGTTTTTCCCCATGATGAATGGGGAAAAAAACTTCATCTTAGACTCGAGTAAATGTGGTGTCTGATCAGTTGTTTCTAAAGCATCAAAACTACATTTTTTCAGGTTCTACTTCTGTAGTGTGAAATCCAAAAGGCAGTAATTTGAGATGGACATTTGATTTGCTAAGTACATTACATTTAGTATACTGCTTCTGAAAGTTGGACCAGGGCTTGACACAAGGCCCATTGAAGTCAGTGGGATCTTTTCATTTACTTCAATAGGTTTTGGTTGCATTTTTTTTTTAGTATTCTTAAGCCTTTGTTGTTTGGGGCTTATATATGTCAGTTGAACTATTTACATTAGAAAGTTAAATGGGTACAAGGTTTGCAAGACTGGGTATGAAGATGTTTCATAATCAAATTATTTCAGTATGGCAGACTAATTGATGGCAGAAGGCAGGGTAGATTTGCACCCCATAGACTAACTAAATCAGATATCATAGTATAATCTTTCAAAATTAAAATCTTTCAAGATCACAGCATCTGATAAAGTAGGCCACTTCATGCTTATGATTTTGTATCTCTGATTTAATTAGTCTATAAGGTGCAAATCTACCCTGCCCTTCTGCCTGACTTCACACTAACAATACTACTGGTTATCATATTAAGCAAATCATAAGTGTAGCTTTGCTTATGATACATATATTTAAATAAGATTTTATCTACTCATTTCCTTGTCTAGTAACAGTTTTTCTCTGTAGCCTGTTGTGAAAGTTCTGGGTTTAAGTCTTTGCTCCAGTTATGAGGGCTGGACTTAACTGGGGGCTTAATAACAGCGGTGCTGACACACTGGGGCCAGAATGGAGTGAGTCTAGCTCTCTTTCCCATAGTTGTACTGACAAATGCTGGAGTAAAATGTAGTACAAATTTACGTTAGTCATTAAGGGGTGTAGGTTGTAGCTGTGTTGGTCTAAGGACATAAGCAGATGGGGATCTTTGAGTAAATCTGATATCTTTTATTAGACCAACTAATTTACGTGAGCCATTAATGCACTTTCTTTACTTTTTGGTTTGACCACGTCACTCCTCTGTTTGCATCCTTTCCTCCTTTGTGACAAATGTGAACTGTTTTTAGTTTCAAGGCTCTTCCAGCCTATCCCCAATCTGTTTTCTTTCATTCACTACCAAGATTGTTTCTTGTTTCCAGTCAGTTTTTGATATTGATACTGTCCCCCCTTGTCAAATTTTTAATCAAGTATCTTCATATTTATGTCTGAAAGGTATTTCCCATACTTGCTGGCAAAGTTGCCTAATAATCTTCCTTTAAAGCCCTCCTTTACAACTCCTTTGATACTTGCAGCAAATTTAAGAGTGGTTATAGGCTGGTCTATTGACACCAGTGCTTGTTGTAGTTACTGATGTTAGAACCTTAGAAGCATAGAAAAGTGCTGGAAGGGAGGACTTTGGGAGGTCATCTAGTCTAAACCCCCAGTCAAGGCAAGTTCATTCCTGTTTTAAACAATCCTAGGTAAATGTCTCTCTAACTGGCTCTTAAAAAGGTCCAAAGATGGAGATCCCACAACTTCTATAGTAAAATATTCTAATTTTTAAATCACACTCATAATGAGAGAGTTCTTTTTAATAGCCAACCTAAATTTCTGTCCCAGTACTCTTCTGTCTTGTATACTATAATATGTTGTCTCATGCCTAGGTTGTAAGCTATTGGGACTGGGACTGTTTCTGTCTTCTGTATGTGTACAGTATGTAACACAATGGGGTAGTGGTCCATGGGTACGACTCAGTGCCTCTGTACAACAATCTAAAGTAATTGCTTTAAATATCAATGAGGAGTAGACCTTGAATGAGGATTTTGTGTGTTCACATGGTCACATTTCAGAATAGAATCACATTCCAGGGTTACTTACAGGCTGCTAGTTACAGCTAGAGAAGAGTTTACCATTAACAGCTTCACTGTTGCATTGTTCAGCTATGCAGCAAATGTTCTACTGAAATCATGTGATAGTTGTGATATATACTAGGGGTGTGCGAAGCGGTCAGTATTCTATTCGGATTTGGCCCAAGTCGGGGGACAGTGATTCAATTCGCTGATTTGGATCACTGTCCCGATTCATTTTGGCTGAATCTCAAGATTTGATTCTGATTCTGAGAATCAGCTATTTAGCTATAGACACAGCTTTATATGTTTTTTCTACGTACCTCGAGGTACCAGGCATGGCTTATGAATGCTAAGATGGTGGGACAGATGGAGCATCCCACAGGAATGTGAGGGCCCCCCTGTGTGCTCAGTGGTTGCCAAGCGAGGGGGAGGGGGGGTCCTCTGTGGTGGACCCGGAAGTGGACCAGAAGTACTTTTGGCCCACTTCTGGATCTGCCGCTGTGTGTGCAGCCCCCCCACCACGCTCCTGTGGGACGATCCATCTGCCTCACCATCTCAGCATTCATAAGCTGGGTCTAGTACCTTGAGGTATGTAGAAAAAAACATATAAAGCTGTGTCCGTGGGTGAATTGTTGAATCTCTCCAAATCAAATTTGGAGAGATAAATGAGTCTTCGATTTGGATTCAGATTCGGAGATTTGGCCACCAAATCAGGCTGAATCTCCTCCGAATTGAATCAGCAACTGAAGCTTCACACAGCCCTAATAGATACAGAGGATACATTGGGTGATAAACCTCCCAGCAACAGTAAAGCCATCAAAGAAAAGATTAAGTGGGATTTACTAATGCTGTCATTTGGGATAATGATTGTTATTTACTGATGCATAATATTATGGTTGAATGTTGTTTTCTGCCTGTTGATAACTGATTTTTAATGCTCTCGCTTTTTCAGTTTTGCAAGCATGAAATTAACTTTTTAACGTGCGTGTTATTAACCTGTTGTTAATTTCCATAGCTGCAGTACAGTTTTTTTTAATACAGACTTAAAAAATATATTTTACACCTTGTCTTTAAACATTCCAGTGTCTTGTGTATTAATTTTTTAGATTAATCGAGCTCCAAGCTTTGGAACAGACCAAAAAATAGACTATGATGTGAAAAAAGGAGTCCTGCTAAATGCATTAAAGCTTCTCAACATACGGTAAATCTGTGTTCAAAAACCTTACTTTGGTACTTTTTATGTTGGTTTTCCTACTTTGTTGGAAAATTATAGGACATTTACTATAAAGGGAACTTTTGTTACCACTTTGAAAATTGTGTGAAAGGCATAGCTTCTCTGTAGATCATTTTTACTGGTGTAACTGACCCAGTAAACTTCACTCCTCATTAGTGTGCATATCAAAAAGGTGGTGATGATAGCCTTTCCTTATTCTTATTTTAATAATCTTTTTCACAGGTCTCACAGTGAGGATAATAAACTCTGGCTTGGGAAGGCTGTCACCATTCTAGTTTTCAGTGCACAACTCATTTGCAATGGTGGCAGTATACACAACTACAGCCTGTTTCCACTAGCACCAAAACACAGAATGATGATAAACTTGAACGATGATATAGATGTAGTTTTAGCACTAAACCTAAAGAAAATCAATTTGATTTAAGATCATCTTTGTATATTGGTTGGTAGCACGAGGTCTATACAAGAATATTTAAGGCTGAAGGTCTCTCAGCCCTAAGAATTATTTATATTACATTATATACTATAGCTACTACAGTTTTTGTGTGTGTGTGTGTGTGTGTGTGTGTGTGTGTGTGTGTGTGTGTTTGCATGTATATATAATATTATATTATAAAAATGTAGTAGCTATAGCATATAATATTTGGTGGGAGAAAAGAGGCTTTTTATTACAGTGAGAATACCCATCAGCTCAAGTATCCTATAACAGGTTATGACGCAACAGCGTCTAGTAGGTTTTGATCCTGTACTTGGTTCTGAAAGGACAGATTCTTATTCCTGTCCAAAGTCCCCACTGACTTTAATAGCACTCTGCACAGGCAGTAGGGTTGGTCTGCCTGCTTGCCTGGAGTTCTTTTAAAACTGAGGGGGTTGACCTCAGGGACTGTTTCCAACTGTGCAGATGCCATTGAATGATTAGGGCCATATACTATAAATGTACCAGACAAATATATTTTAAATATTTCATAAGAAGACTAAAAATTCAGCTGCATTCACAGCAATGCAATGCAGCCTTTAATTCTATTTAAAGGAAACTACCTTTTGGATTACTGAGTCAAATCTGAATGTTGTCTTTTTCTTTTAGGCCAAGTGATAAAAGAAGAAATTTAGCTCAACAGAAAGCTGAGGCTCAAAAGAGACTTTATGGTCAAGGCTCAATGAAAAGACTATCACCAGGTTCCTCTGATTGGGAAAAACAGCGGCACACACTGGAAAGGAGAAAAGAAGAGTTGGTATAAAAGAATTTAACACAGCTACTCCTCTTCCTTCTTCAAGGATTGTAGTTCCTCAGTTTTAATTAATTGACTTTCTTCATTTCTAGAAAGAGAGACTTGCACAAGTACGTAAACAGATTTCCAAAGAAGAGCATGAAAATAGACACATGGGGAACTACAGGTACTGTCTTTATCTAAGAGTGGACAGCATTCAGTGTTTTATTTGGGGATAATGGAAATAAATACTGTGACTGGATGGTGATTTTCTGATGAATTTACAGTTTTTGGGTGCAAAATGCCCTTTTCCTAGTCTTCAGGATTTGAGATTCATCTGGGACTTGAGGGTAGGCATTTTGGGTTTAAAAGCCTGCCTAACATCTTTCCCAATTATAGGGGTGGTATAGTAAAAGACCAAACAAATACTGCTTCTGAAAAAAGGCGCACAGGCATTTAGTTTAAATATTTTATATGTCCATCAGCTGAAATTTTTTTACAGCAATTGCTCTTTGTATCTAAGGTATTTGCATCTATGCATTTATAAGTCTCCAGTCGCTATGGTGTTCATGTACCAATGTCTTTATGTGAAAGTCTTGGCTATTTCTGTTTAATGCCTGTAGGTTCATGACTGCAGGTAGTCTTGTTCCTGTACAAAGAACTCCACTTAGACAAAACTCCTATTGTTAGCAATTTGTACTCAGGAAAATGGGTAGTGATGATGATGAATCTCTACAGAGGGGCACCAGGTATTTTTCCGTTGTAATAACAAAAGATAAACACTTTATTCTGGGTTTTATTATAATCTAGGCCAGCAGTGTCTGACTCATCCGATCCAGCCTACAGATAGATGCTGCACTGTGCATGCAGCATGTAGGGTCAGCCTTGAGCAGACAGCACATACTCTGGATTGGCTCCCCATGCTGTAGAGAAAGCACTGTGCTCGTCTGGCCCTCTGTGCCGCATGCACATGTGTGCACTGATCTGGCTCTGCATGCTGGATCTGGGCAGATCTGGTACATGAGTCTAATACAGTGTGCTGCACCCAACATGTAGGTCGAGTCTGAGACCCATTACGGCAGCATTACGGGCCAGACCATAGGGTTCCACAAACCTTAACTTTGACACCCCTGATCTAAACCAAGGGATCCTCATGCTTTAATGGCTCACGTGCAACCTTCTAAAAAATCCTGTTTGCAGTACCTCATGCAAGTTTTTCTATTTATGCCTACTTATCATAGGTTTTTTTAGCTTAACTTAAGTATATCTGGGTTCTGAAGTGTGATTTTATGGATTTCAGTGCCTGCTGTGCAGTAGTAGGACACCTAAATTGCGGCCAGGCAAATTAGCAAATAGACTCAACTGGACTGTTGTCAAGATCTGTAGAAGCATATCAGCCATGGTTTGGTGGTGCAGGCAGAGAGGAACTAGCAAAAGGGAGTCTTGGTCTCTTGTGGTGATAGAGATTATGGTACAACTTGAAGGGGCTGGCTGAGGAATAGGCAGCTGGCCCAGTCTGTGCCCCTCTATCACAGTTGGGCTGGTTTGTTTCCCATCAGTGAGCTAGGTGCCTGTACTCTGCAGCATAACTAGACGCATTGTGGCGACCCTGCTGAAGGGCCCATTTCACTGTCTGTGCCTGACGTGGGTCCCCAAAGATTCCAGTTATTGTCTTGATAAAAGTTTCAACCTGGTCAAGGAGGGGGTTTGAGGACTCTAAGAGTGAGGAGACCCAGGTCAGGGCATCTCCAGTCAGGAGGCTGATTATCAGCCTCACCCTGGCAGTGTCTGAAGCATACGTTCGGGGGCATAGCTAGAAAGCTGGGTGGCATTGATTCATGAAACCTAGAAACTATAGGGATTCCAATTAAATTTACCCTGTAGGGGAATCTTGGGTTCAGGGTTTGCTGGAGGCCAGATGAACAGTTGAGCCGGGGTGGAGGGGGAGGAGGGGAGTGGGGGCATGGTCTGGGCCTGCAGATCTGTGGTTTGGGATTGCAAAGATCTGTGTGACCAGAGGTTTGGGCCCTGAGATCTGACCTGGTAACTTGTTCATCCTGCTACCTCACCAGGATATTAATTGGGCTATTCAAGCTATCAGGGTCCAAGTGTTGGGTCTAGTGGTTAGAGCGTGGAGGGTTTTACCAGCATCTGTACTGGGGGGTGGAGGGGAGCCGAAGTCAAACCAGGGTTCACGTGCTGGGCCAGAGGGTTACCACCAGAAGCTGATGTCAGGAAGTGAGCTGAAGTCAAAGTGGGGTTCTGAAGGTCAGG